GAAAGGTCTCCACGACGTGCTGGGGGAGGCCGAGTGATGACACTGGCGTCCTGCCCGGGACTGGGGCTTCTATGTATCATTGCAGGGTGGCTTGCTGGGGTGTGCACTGGGCCGCTGCTCCCCGGGTGGGGACCCGGGCCTGTGCTCTCCCCAAACCCTTGGAGAAGTCAGGGAGGGGCTGAGTTTGTACGGAAGAACGGCGGGAGAGGCCCGTCCAGCGCCGCGCTGGGGGCTGGGCGTTCACCTGCAGACCCGAGGGCGCCTCATCCCGGGGCACAGAGCGGAAAGCCCAGCCGGGAATCCTGGAGCGCACTGGGGCTGAGCACCGGAGACCGGCGGAGCCAGGGGCCGCAGCCCGGGCCCCTGCACCCTGCTCCGCGCTTGCGCACTCCTGCCCCCCTCCTCCGCTGGCAGGATGCGTGGGCTGTTTCTGGGGTGCCCAAGATGCTGCTGCTCGAGACACTGCCCCCTCGAGCAGGGAGCCAGGGCTGCACTGGGGACGCGGGCCTCTTGGCCCCAAGGTTGACCCTGAATGTGGCGTCTGCTCGCTCCCTCTGGAGTCTATCTCGGGGTTGCTGGCCGCTGGACCCCAGCGCTGGCCTTGAGGACACAGGGGCTCCTGAGAAGTCCCTTTGGCTGATGTTCTCATGTCCGATGTGTCTTTGCCTCCTCGCAGGGCCCCCTGTGCACGGGGAACCGGCCTGTGCCACCTCAGAAGCGCCCCTCCGTCGAGGGGACGGAGACCAGGAGGATGACGGTGGGGCCAGCCCAGGAGGCCGCGGGCTGACGGCCGCGGACGCCGCCAGGGCGGGGCTGAGGCGCGTGAGTTGCCCCCTCTGCAGCACCGTCTGATAAGGAACGCGGCCTTCAAATCAGCAGCACCCAGAGCCGTGAGGGGAGATGACTTGTGGGACAAGGGTCACGCAGAGGGAGGGCAGCGGCCGCTGGGCCCGGCCGAGCCTGCGGCTCTCTGGGGACAGGAAGTGACTCACGAGCCGGCCGGACACACCTGTGCCCCCCAGAAAAGAGCCCCTCGTTTAAAAGCGAGCTAGCATCCTTCCTGCACAGCCTAAATTCGTTTAACACACTTCGGTGACATTATTTGGGCATTTTTCACAATTATGAAAGCTAACTCGCTTTCCTCCGTGACCGTTAGTCAAGGGCAAATTAGATCTATGGATTTTCTCCCCTCGCTTTCTCCGATGAATCAGAGGTTATTGGCCCAGTGTGTTCGTGGCTTTCCCCGAAGCTTAGAAACCCAGACAACCTGTTGAGAAGACATTTGGCCAATCTGATTGTCTCCTCTACACGAACTGGTCTGACTTCCTCACTGAACGGCGTGAACAGCGCGGTGGTTCCGGGGCTGCGGGCGGCTGGACCCCTGGGATGGGCTGGCGGGGTGCTCGTCGCCATCGTTAGAGCTCGGTGATTTCTCGGGGGTGAGGATGGAAATGAAAACGGGGCTGAGCCCATCCGTTCTCCCCATGGCGCGTCCGGGGCCCCAC